ACCGAAAGTTTATATTTTTTTTTTATCAAACAATGTATTACCACTATTTTAAAGTTAATGAAATACCTTCCACCAATATTAAAAATTCAAAGTCCTAATACATAAATCCAATCCTAACATATTGAGATTTTCTTGGTTATAGGCAAAACTGGTTCCTTTACCTAGCATGCATCCACGTGTTCGTGAAATTTTAGCTCCCATTTTGGCCATAGACTTTGGCTTCATCTTTTCAAAAAAAAAAAAATAGAAAATACCATTTTGTTTATAAAATATGATCATGTTTGAGAAAAAAATTAGATCCCAAAAATTGGTTTAGGACAGTTTTTGGTGAAATTTTTTCTTTCACTCACAAAACTTAAACTTTTTTCAAATAAAATGCACGTCCAAACTTAATTTCAACTTTCAAAATTATTTTTTAACACAACTTCAAAAATCCTTTTTTCAAGTTTCAATTAAATCTATATCCTAAAACTAGCTTAAATTTATATTCCTTACTTCAACTAATCCAACCAAAAAAATAAAGAAAATAAGACACATTGTATGAATTTTCTTTGATTTTCCCCTTGGTGTACAATGTTCCTTTTTTAACCTAAAATTATATCGCATAAGACCGATTAAAGAAAAAAAATACTCTCATTCAAAAAAAAATATTTGTAGAGTTCGAACCCCATTGTACCCCTATAACTTACCAATATGCTCCAACAAGATAACAAGTGGCAATTGTGTAGCGTCAATTAAAGAGAAAGAATGAAAAAACTCCATTTCCCAAGTGTTATATAGGTTTCACTTTATAGGGTTTTGAGTGGCTCGATGCATTTATAGCAGTTTTTTTTTTAAAAAGGCATAAAAGCCACAACCTCTGGAAAACTTTTGAGCCGGTGTTTTATTCTAGCAGCTAATATGTAGGTTATATAGCTTATGGCTTATGTCCAAGAGTATGAAAGTTAGCTAAATTTTGGTGAAAAGGAATTAAAGAAAGAAAGAAAATTGAAAATTAAAAAATCATATGTATAATGTTATAAAACTTCAACAGAATTTGAATTTTGACACATACCCGTTTGGCCATAGATTTGACAAAATATATTTGGGATTTTTTTGGCAAATATATATTTGGCCATATATTTTATCTACATTTTAGCAAATTTCAAAATCCTAAATCTCAAAACCAGCTCAAGAATGTCACTATTACATTTTTTAAAAATTGCCCCAAACTTTTGTATTTTATAAAAGAGTCCACGATTCGTTATTTTGTAACAATATTGTTTCGTCTTCTCAGTTATCTGATTGTGTATTATGTAGTTCATTATAAAAATGATAACTTTGTACCAAATTTATTTATGTTTAGTACTATGGTTGTGATAATATAACGAATGTTATTGATAAAGGTTCCGTTGGGTATTTGTGATAGTTTTAGAATTTGTGGGTGTAAGTCATGTTTCATGTTTTTTCAAAAAAAAAGTGAAAATGTTTTGAAAACTTATTTCCAAGCACATTTTCATCTTCAAGCCAAACTTCACCCAAATCAGATTTTTCAAAACAAATTTGGGAATCTATAGCCAAAAGCTAGCATAAAATCATGAAAATTGTCATAAAAGTTCGCCACTTGTTAATTAAATACTCCCTCCGATCTACTTTAATTAATTTTTCGTCATTTTTTTGTGGTCCACAATATTTGATTTTTTCAAATATCAAAAAACAATTAACTTCTTTTTTCCAAAGTTAACCTAGAAATAAAGAGTCTATACGTATTAATTATAATTGCAATGAACAAAATAAGGTTACTATGGTCAATTTCATCGTTAATTAATATTAAAAGTTACGAATTTTTTAATATGGGTAAAACAACCATAAAACTAATTAAAAGGACCGGTATAAGTAAAATTCATGTCATCCAAACCCTAACACGTAGAGAAGTCCAAACCCCCAACACACTGCCAATTTTTTTTATTTTTTTTGATAATATTATGGCATATCTGAATTAACTTGCGCGCACCTCGACTAACACACAATCAAAGCTTCACAAACAAAATATCAAATCGCAGAACAAATATTCTGTTAGTTTTTAAGATCTAACGACTCAAATTAAAAGAGTAGCCAGATTCACTAAGCTCCCGCTATATGCGGGATTCCGGGAAGGGTTGGACCATAAAAGTCTATTCTATGCAGTCTTACCTTATATTTCTAAAAGAGGTTATCTTCACGACTCAAACCTGTGATCTCCTGGTCACATGACAGCAACTTGACCTTCTAAAATATGGTGTAGAGTCAAACCTCTCTATAACAGCCTCGTTTGTTCCGAAATTTTTCGGTTGCTATAGTGAAGTGCTGTTATAGAGGACATATATTATAACATAATATAATGATCGGTTCCGATAAAAATTCGACTTTTATAGTAAATAACTATTATATAAAGATGGTGTTATAGAGAGATTTGACTTTATATTCACTTATAAAAATAAAATTTTCAAGAATCCAATGATTTAAACACTATGAATTTCTTCTATACATGCCAAACGTAAGATTTCAAGAATCATGTTGTATTGACAGCAAGTCAACTAGCCTCACTAAATACCAAATAGGGAAGTGTCAAATGTCAAGAAAAATGAAAATAATTGTAGAGTAAAGCAACAGTTTGAATACCAATTTGATCTTTACTAAGGCAAGTGGGACAAAAGAGCACTTACATCAAATGAAAGAAAAAAAGGGATGAAATGTTCGACAAAATCCGAAAAATACGCAAAGAACATGATTAAAGAGGAAAAATGGGAAGAAAATTGAACAAAAAGAAGCAACAAATATTATTTTATTTTATATGATGGCTGGTTCATGCATTAAAAGAAAATACATCACATCACTAAACAAAAGGCCTAATAGCAAAAGTGTAAAATTCAAAATTTTCATGCTAAAGATAAGAATTAGAAATAAAAAAAGAAAAAGAAAAATAGGCACAAGAAGCAGTAAAGTGGAGAATTAATTATTGCCCAAAAAAACAGATAATAATAGTCTATAAATATAGTAATTGTTTACTTCAACAATAAAGAGAAAAAGAAATAATGACAAGTAATGATCAATAAAACCACACCATCAAATATATACCAAGTAACATGAACTTATAATTAAGCAATTCTTTTATCTTTGCATGTTTGATTACTCATAATATAGTAGATTAATCAAGAAATATAGTGAAGTATATCTATAATAACATGTGATATAACCACCACCAAAGGATGTGGTGCAGTGGATAAGACTGCTCTTTCCTTAACCAGAGGTCTCGAATTCGAGCCCTGGGCATGGGAAAATCCTTGATAGGGAGCGCTCCTCCCCGAATGGGGCCCTACGCGGCACGAGTCCGAATATAGTCCGGCTCCAATGCTTACTTCTAACATGTAAAGATAGAGAGTATTCCAATTGTAACTTTAAAAATATATCGGCATCCACCTACTTTAACTTTTATACACTGATAATATAAAAATTCTGCAATTATCAAACCACATAAAATTAATACAAGTAACCATTCATAATAAATGAAACTACAAACCTTTAAAATAATTGTGATAAATTGTCTGCTTTGTAGTGTATATAAGTTGCTTTCATAAAATAATCAATGTCAAGAAATTATTGATTCTACCTCTAACTTATGTCGCACAGGCTCTTTAAAAACATTGTCATTACACATATCAGATCCTTTTCAAAAATAAATTACTTTTTAAGAAGGCAGAATAGCTTAAATGGCACCTATGCTTGTATCACTTTGTCATCCCGATCCCTATATTCAATGAAGTTTCATCCAAACACCTGAACTCAGTCAAAACATGTATTTTAAATCCCTCTGACCGTTGACTGAGCTTATGTGTCATTGATTTTGCTGAGTCAGAAAAATGAGTGATTACACGATCTAAAAATGAGAGTGGATATTTTTATTTTGATTTAAAAATACTAAAAATAATAAAGAATAACCATAAAAAAGAAAAAAAGTAAATTAATTTCCCAACCCAACCCAAGTACTCTACCCATTTCCCAACCCTTCGTCCTTATTCCCTCTGTTTCTCCCCATCTTATTCTCCCCCCTCTTTCCTGTTTACAACAGACTAAACAGGTGGTGGCCAAGTAATATAGCAATAAAATTAATAGTATAAAAAAGAGAAGAATTTTCTTCTAGGGAATCTAAATAAACAGATCTATTAATCGGGTTAAAATTTTTAAAGATATCAAGAAGTTATGGCCAAGTAATTTTCGTGTTCATCAATCCAATGTGGTCATGGGTTTTCCGCAGGAGTCTGGTGAGTGGAGAAATAGGTGGTGGAGTCCGCTAATGGTTAATTTCCAGCGATGTAGTCCTTTGTTTTCCAGTGACGGTAGCTGTTTGTTGGTTGTGTTCCCCTTTTTGTGTCTCTGTAAATCAAGAGTACACTTGTGTCTCTGTAAATTCTAAGTCCTTTGTTTTTTGTCATGGTATGCTGCTCGTTGTTGCAAGATAAAATTTTTTTTTAATCAAAATTGAAGAATTTTATGTATATGAATTGGGGTTTGAGATTGTGCTCAGAAAGGAGAAAAGAGAGCAAAACGGTGAAGGCGAACTCCGATTTTTCGGTGATAAGGGTCGCCGGCAGTATAGGAAGATGGTGATGGATTTGATTTATTAAAAATTAATTTTTAAATAAATAAAGATGTGGCATTAATTTATCTGATGTGTACATGATATTTCCTCCATGTCAGGCGAGTGACCAACACGTAATGCCGAAGGGGTTTAAAATACATGTTTTAACTGAGTTTAGGTGTCTGGATGAAACTTCATTGAATACAAGGACCGGGATGACAAAGTGGTACAAGTATGGATACCATTTAGGCTATTCTGCCGTTTAAGAATTAAGAATTCGACATACAATCGGTTATATTTTTTGAGAGTCCAAGCAAAATTATCTCTACCAATATTTCAATGCAAACAAAACATTTAAAAGGCGAGTAAATAACCAATTAAATGTGATTTGAAGTTTCTTTAATTTAACCAGCCAACTACAGTAATTTACACTAAGAAATACATGGATTCCAAAAAGGAATAAGTCAAAAGAGCAAGATCAGAGGTAAGAAAGTACAATTCATGGATTCCAAAATTTTCCATAAAAAGGAAAAATTAATTATTCTTTGGAAGTCCTATTTTCTGTTGAAAATTAAATGCCAAAGAACCAAAAGAAGTACATATAACAAAATATAAAAAAAAATATCAAAAAAAATTAATTCAGTTACAAATACTCATTTCCTCAAATATTTTTTTTAAGAGGAATAAATAATTAACAACATTTAATTTATTTGGTTACCATAATTTGATCCACCAAGTAATCCACCACCACCAGTAGAAGCAGCATAAAGATCAGAAGTATCATTAGTAATATTACCACTGCCACCCAAATGTAAATCAGAAAAATTGGGATAATTATTATTATCTTTGCCTTCTTCAATTCCTTGATCATATAGAAAACCTTTGAAAACATGGCCACCAATTCTAACAACAGCTTGATATGCAAATTCATCATCTCCATCATCTACTGAAGTTACTCTTACACATTTGAATACAGCTGGTGCTCTCACTTGTCCTGGCAATGAGGCTTTAAAACTTGCATCTACAATAATATACAACAAAATATGTACTTGCATGAAACAAAAACTCAAGAAAATGATAAATAATAATAACGACAAACTTAGTATAATCGCATAAGTGGAGTCTGGCGAGAATAGTATGTATACATCCTTACCCCTGCCTTGAGAAGGTAGAAAGACTATTTCCGACGCGCAAAGAAAGATTAGAAAAGAAGCAGTAGCAGCATGTACTAACACCAACAGGATAATAAGAAAATCGAAGCAAAAGAAACAATGAACAGTATAAGAATAAAAATTACATAAGACAACAACAACGACAACCCAGTCAAATCCCATAAGCGGGATATAGGGAGGGTAGTGTGTACGCAAAACTTACCCCTACCCCGATGGGGCAGAGAGGCTATTTTCCCTTTGCTCAAGAAGATGGAAAAGACGATAAGAGACAATATATCAGTACCGTCAACAGAAACCATAGAAATAACAAGAGCAACATAAGAACCAGAAAATAAATGACATGCAGTAATAATAATAAAAAAAAAATCATAGTTGACTATTTTTCATCAAGAACTAATATTCTAAGGAGTAGGAGTATAATCCCGAAATAGAATTTGAGATTGCATTTTATCCCATGTTTAATTATAGATATCAGTTAATACTTGTACAAATTTTTATATTAAAACCTTGATGTTAATTAACCTACATTAGATGTAGGATAACAATATCATCCTGTGATTATTAATCACTAGATAACCCTCTTTGGATCCAAACAACCCCTAAGAGTTTAACTTTATTTACTTTTACAACATCAAATCACCTAAAAGCATGTGACAGTTCATAATAAATGAATACTGTATAAATTCTTTTCATGTGTAAATAAGTTAAATTCATACCAAAATTTCTTGAAAGTTCAAAATCATTAGGTGATAAAGAAGATCATATGTATATACTACAATGGTACTAAAAACTTCTTAAAATATTAGGGTTGATGGGAGGTGGGGCTAGAAAATCATGATGTTTGTTAGTACTAAAACTTCTTAAAAGTTTGATCTTGGTAGGGGTCGGGCTAGAAGATCATATACACTAACACTAAACATTTTTCTTAACAAAAATTTGTAAGCCAGTTTGTACACATTTCAACTACTCCATCACACCAGAAGTATCGGGTTCGAACCCGGGGTACGGAAAAATACTTAGTAGGGAGTGCTTCCTCCGAATAGGGTCTTACGCGGCGCGAATCCGGATATAGTCGGACTCCAATGCGAGAACCGGACACCGGGAGGAAAAAAAAAAAACTATTCCATCACTAAAACTAACATAAGATAACATATTTGTAACAACTTAATGTGTAGAAGATAATGTGCAAAATTACCTTGATGACTAGAGCTAGTATCAAAACTTCTAGGAGGAGTTGTATTTGAAGTAGAAGTATGAGAAGCTGTAGTAGTAGCTTGAGAATGAACAAGTCTAGGTTTCTTAGCACTTGAAGTTGATTGAGAAGATGAACCAGCAGCAACATTTACATTTGTTGAAGTACCTCCAATTAGTTGTCTCTCGCGCCTTCTCGCTGCTGGTACCCAAGTACTTTTTACATGTGTTGTACAATCAAAACCTCTACTTTTACAACATGTTCTACATCTTCTGTGTGGACAATCTTTTTTAGCTTGGTTTCCACAATCTTGACATGTTGCTGAACTTGTTGATGAAACTGAACCACCAATGTTGTTGTTGTTGCCATTGCCACTACCAAGAATGTTACTGTTTTTGGTATAATTCGTAGAGTTCTGAGGTTGTTGGTTTGAAAAGAACTGAAAACCACCACCTTCGTTATCATTTCCTCGATTTCTACTGACTAAATCTTGATCGTCGAAGCTAACCATGTTCGTTAAAGGAGTTGCTGTGAGAAGCGGAATTACACCAACACCAAGAGATGTGTTCGTTGTAGAGATATTGGAACCGTTTATCGGGTCAAAATTGATGGTATTTTCTTGATGTGAATGTTGATGATGATGGTGGTGGTGAAATGAAGCGGGATGTACTACAAACATACCCATTTCGGGTGAGAGGCCATAGTTGATGTGCATCTGTCGAGAAGACGATGCAGACCACATACCACTATGGCCTCCTCCTCCGCCGCCACCGCCAGCAGCGGTGTGAGGACCATTTCCTCCCCCGCTACCGATGGTGGTGCCAGCGTTGAAACCTAAAGATAGGTCCCCAATAGCAGCACCGCCAGTAGCTGAATTAGAAGAATTAGCTACCCAGTCTGCAAAAGCTCCAGAATCTGAAGCCTGCAGCAGTCTCCTAGCAGTAGCCACAGCTGCAGACTTTAACAGATTTCTTCTTCTTCTACTATATTTTTTGTCCTTTACCCAACAAAAACAATAGCTAGCAAGAGAAGTAAGCTGTTGATGTTGCAAAATCTTGGAAAATCTAGAGATCAACTAGAACAATAAAACAAAACAGAAAAAGATGTGGGGTCTTTCTGAAATTCTTTTTCATAAAAGATTTAGAGAGAAAAAAAGAGATCTAGTTGATGGGGTATGACTTTAGGTCTGTATTTTGCTCTAATTACTGACTGGTGAATAACAGTTGGCAGAGTACTGAGGCTGCTGCTGCTGCTGCTGCTTCTTCTTCTTCTTGCTGCTGCAGCTTCTGAGTTTTTACTGATACTATACTAATACTTCTTCTACAGTCTGTCACATTTGCCTTTAATTTTTCTTGTGAACAAAAAAAAGTTCAATAACGACCTTTCCTGAGTTGGGAACTTTTCTTTCTTTCTTCTTCTTCTTCTTCTCACACTATGCTATAATTTTTCTTGTGTAATTTTCTTCTTTCTTGTTGTTAAAATAGCAACTGGACTTTCTCTCTATTTATCATCAGACTGTTTCTCTTTTTGCCTCCTTCTCTGAGATTCTTTGTTGCTATTTCTCTTTGAAAAAACTATAAACTTGATATTATTGGAGAGAGAATAGTTTTGGGATGAAAGGAGATAAAAGGGGGTGGTTGGGGTTGAAAGGAGTGGAGAGGGAGCATTTTGTATTTGTAGTTATTGCATCATTATCTCTAAAGTCTAAAAAGTCACATGTCTAGCTTTCTTTTCTTTTCCCTACCCTTGACACTTCCCTATTTCTATTTTTTCTATGTTAAAAAAAAAATGCATGTTACCACCTTAACCTAGAATTGTAGCACTTGACCTAGTTTTGTTATATGTAAATGTACACATAATTAAACTATACTGCATTGGTGATAAAAATTTATTGGTAGGAAGATGTTACACGAGTATAGTCCCTCGTTTAATTTTAGCTAGCGCTTTGCCATAGATTCCAAATATGTTTTGAAAAATTTGATTTGGGTGAAATTTGGTTTGAAGATGAAAATGTGTTTGGACATACGTTTTCAAACCATATTTCCCAACTTTATTTTGGAAAAACATGTATATAATTCCCAAATTTTAGGATTTTGGCCCAAAATCAGCAATTGGGGTGATTTTTGGATTTGGGGTTTGGAATTTGGGATTTTGCCAAAATGTGGGCAAAATTTATGGCCAAACATGAGTTTTGAAAATAAATCTCAAATTTATTTTGGCAAAACTCATGGCCAAACGGGTCCTTACTTGTCCATTATACTAAAAGTACTTTTTCATACCTGTCAACTATACTAAACAAGAAAAAGATAATATTTTATTCTGTTTTACCTAATTTATCACTAACTACTAATTTTCCAAATCATTTCCCAAGACTTTTGAAAATACTATCATTATTATGGATAAAATTGTAAAATACATACTTCAATTTTTCCTAGAGGGAGTGCAAAACCAAAAGTGGACAGCTAAAAGTGAACGGGGGGAGTCGAGGTCTATTGGAAATATCATCTTTACCTTCGCAGGATAAGAGTAAGTATACACACTACCTTCCCTTGACACTACTTATGGGATTACACTGGTATGTTATTGTTGTTATTGTTGTTGATGTTGTTGTTATTTCAGTAAGGTCGTGTACGACATGAATTCATATTAATCAAGTTCGATATGCATCGGACCAGAGACGAAGCCATGATTTGAAGTTTAGGAGTTTGTGATTATAGTTCGTTTAAGTTACGTACTGAGTTCTTAATTAACAATTTGTACATATTTTATATACCTCATAAGACAAATACATGGTTTGGACCAAAGCTATTGGGTTCGGCCGAATCTGTATCCCGCATGCTAGCTCTGCCTCTGCATCGGACTTCAAATGCGTTAAACAAATTAAAAATAAACTAACGAAAGAGTTTTAACTTTTATATATTGATAATAAAAAAGTTCTTACCCTACGCATCGCTTAATTATTAATAAAAGGTTAAACTAATAATTTAAAAAATAAAGTAAATTACTTGCTAAACATTGTAATAAAAAATGAGAAAAGATTTCTCCTCGCCCACAAAAACCAAAAGAATATCTTTACTACTTGTATAGGGTCAAATTTGACCTTCAGTATCTCTACGCCAGTAGGTACGCCCAATGAGTGTACGCCGACTAAACGTAGCGGGTACGACTCGGTCGTGAGGACCAAAGCGACGTCGTTTAGAACTCAGCGTTTACACTAGGGAGACGCTACCTATCTCTGTAACTTTTTGATTCGTTCGAGGAAGGTCTCCTATTATATAAAGGGGACCTCCACATTGTAAAGGAGGCAGCTGATCTAATACAGCTCTCTCCTTTTCTGTCTTTCTCTCTCTATATCTCTACTTCTGACGAAAATATCTTATGAACATACATTATCATCTTTGCAACACTAGATCTACAACAATATTATCATCTTTGCATCTCTAGGTTTATTATATTTGATTACGATTTACCCTTTCTCTATTTTTTGATTGTTTTATCGCTTACAAAGTACATCGTTAACTTTTGAGCCAAACAATTTGGCGCCATATGTGGGGATTTCGAGAATCAAAACCATAGTATCCACCTAGAGATCAACCAACCACCACTCTCTACACCACTCAAAAACAGGAAATGGCCGAAAACAACACAAGATCGAAAGCCATATTGGGTGTTACTACCAATCTCCTAGGCCCTCTCAACGAGGCCTGTGACGATGGCATCCTGAATGAAACCCCAAGCATCACACCAGGTGCGGAGATCTCACCTTCCCCATCCGAAGGTCTGACGATCTTACACAAAGAAGCTTCCACATCTACAACCACGGAAGCACCCTCAGCGGTCAAAGAGCTACTGGAAAGATGGCTAACAAGCGCTCTAAGTGGCTTGGTTGAAAGGCCACTGCAAAATAACGTCGGATGTACACCAACGGTAGGTACCATTACGGCAGTGGGTGAACCAGAAATTACACTGGTAAATAACAGACCCATCGAGACACAAACCAACGATGGCACGCTAACAGCCATCTTAAAGAAGATGGAAGAAATAGAAAATGAAAATGAGGCGCTCCGCGGTCAGATGAAGGAACATCAGGAGAGGGTCGACAAGATCCCCGGTGCTCCCAAGTTGCTACCAAAACGCGACGTAGGAAGGTTCGTCGAACAACCATACACCGAAGAAGCTGCTCCTCACTCCACCCCAAAAACCTTCAAAATGCCACCATACTTGAGGGTATATGACGGAACCACCGATCCCGAGGATCATCTGATCCACTACGTCACTGCTGTGAAAGGCAACGACCTATCAAAAGAACAGGTACCGTCGGTACTACTGAAGAAGTTTGGCGAGACGTTGATAGGAGGGGCTTAACATGGTACTCTCAGCTACCGGCTAAAGCAATATCAACGTTCGAGGAAATGGCAGATAAATTCGTCACAGCCCATGCAGGCGCGAAGAAAGCAGAAGCCAGGGTCAACGACATCTTCGCCATCAGGCAAAACGCAGGAGAGGGACTCAGGGACTTCCTGGCAAGGTTTAACAGGGTAAGGATGAGCCTACCAAACGTATCGGAAGGTATGGCAGTCGCCGCTTTCCAGAACGGGCTAAGCAGAAATGGTTCGAGGGTAACCAAGAAACTGCTGAGTCGCCTCATGAAATATCCCCCTACCACATGGGAAGAAATCCACAACGCTTACTGCGCCGAGGTACGAGCGGACGAGGATGAGCGACACGTCGCCCCACTACGAAACGAAAGAGGTACGCCCCCTTTATTAACCGCCCATAACTTTTGTGTGTCTCCTTCAGAGATAGTGTACGCACTGGAGAAGCTAGGCACCAAGGTGCACTGGCCGCAAAAGATGAAATCAGACCCTGCCACAAGGAAATCAAACGCCCTGTGTGAGTTCCATCAGGAACGAGGACACAAAACCGAAGACTGCATCGGCCTACGGCAAGAAGTGGTCAGGATGCTGAACCAGGGATACCTAAGGGAGCTACTCAGTGACAAAGGAAAAATAAACTTTGCACGCGGACGGGAACAGTCCCACGGACCGCCAAAGCCGCCTTCCCCAGCGCGCACGATAAACATGATCGTCGGAGGCGCCGACGAGGCAGCGATCAATCACGTCAAACTCGCCACCACACACAGACTAAAGCGGACCATCGCCCATGAACGGTATAAGGACTTCGAAGATAGTATCACCTTCGATAAGTCTGATGCCGACGGTTTGTCTTTCCCTCATTATGATGCTTTAGTTATCATTTTACGTATCGCTGATACAGATGTTAAAAGAGTCATGATCGATGACGGAAGCGGCGCCTGTATTATCCACCCAAGGGTCCTCATACAAATGGGACTCGAGGATAAGGTAATACCGCGCTGCATAACACTAACCGGTTTTAACAATGCAGTGGAACGGACGTCCGGAGAAATAGCACTGCCCGTCTTAGCAGGAGGAGTCACGCTGGAAACAACTTTCCACGTGATGAACCAAGAAACGACGTACAACGTCATCACAGGACGCCCATGGATACACGCCATGCGAGCGGTCCCTTCAAGCCACTACCAAATGATCAAATTTCCTACCCCATGGGGAGTATTCAGCATTCGAGGCGAGCCACGCACCGCACAAGAATGCTACAAAATAGCCCAAGACTGCGCCCACACCCAACAGCTAAAGGGGCGAGCGCGGAGGCATAGCAATTAGCCGTGTCGGGAACTAAGGTCAACCCGATAACGGACGTGATCAAAGACCCCGACATCGTGGAAGCCTGTAAAGCAACGGTCGAAGACCTCGACCCAGTCCAATTGGACAAAACCGATCCTACGAAGAAAGCCTATACGGCACACCTTCAAAGTATAAGGAGTGAGCTGGGCCGGGCACACATTGTAAAAACGGCAAAGCTCCTCCACCAGAGTATAGACTGGAAGGTCGTAACCGATCAAGAACGGGTACTCGTAGAAGGCGCAATATCCAGGCCGGTGCACATTGGCATAATCCGTTCCGGCCAGAACCATGTCCACATGGTCCGGAATACGGTGGGTCTCTCGCAACTCGTCTAAATGGGATTGAAGCAAAACGCTGTGCTCCCAGGGAAGATCAGGGCTTTTAGTCGGAAAATCCCTGTGAACGTGCATCTCCTTCGGAAGGACGTTGTCTACGCTGAGAGGAACAAGGACCTTCTCCGCCTTTTCCCCTTCACCACCAGAAGATGGCGGAACCCTAGACGGGACATTATCCTTGACCTTTTTATTATTTTTTCCGCGTTTTGCCATGATAATACTACTTGAGAAATGAAGCACTGACAAAAGGAAGTGTGATTTCAACAGATGTGGGAAAGTCCTTCACGAAATAACAGTTATAGGAAAGAAAGGAAAGGGATGTATCAGAAAATACTTTTCAGAGGTTTGAAAGTGGAATCAGATCAAACCTTTCTCATACTTATAAGGATAAATTGCACAGAAATCGAAGAGTCATGATTCAAAACGTGCGCCGGAAACGAAAACGTCACTTCATCCTCTGGACCGCCTCGGGGGCAAACATAATGATGATGCATACAGGCGATGACATCATTCCAAAAAGGAAGCCACGCGTCAGCGGCTCGACAGCGTCAAATGTTTCACTTCATTCATATTGCCGCCCCCGGTCGAGGTCAAATTCTCCCAAGACGAGGTTCGCATTTC